GGGCGCATGTCCGTGCATGCCCAAGATCCTGAGAAGAGAAGGGATTGCAGTGTGGCCTTCCCTCTGGAGGATGATTTCTCGCTGTTTCTCTGTCTCTCTGTCTTTCTGGCTAGTGCACACGCCCTATAGCAAAAACCTCTCCAAAAAAAAGAAGATGGGAGTTAAGACAGCTGCATTTCACATGGCACAGTTTTGAGTCCTGGACCCAGTGGCTTTAGAGTCATGCCAGGTGTGTGCCCAAAATCCCACAAGGAGAGTGGAGAAGGGATTTTGGGGTGGCCATGCCCCCTTGAGAGTTATTTCTCACTTTCCCTCTCTGTCTGTCTCTGGGGAGCATGTTCTTCCTATGTCCAAAAAAAAAAATAAAAAAAGCTGTCATGGAGGAGTGGCAAGTGGCTAAGAGAGAAGCAGTGATCCTTCACTGCAGGCAGCTAAAACACTTGGGTCAAGGCTGGATGTAAAGTACTGTGGCCTGTTTGGGGAACTGTAAGTGCTACTATGCCTAGATCAGGGCTTGAAAACAGGCGGTGGGTAGGAGACTAAAATCCAAAAAGGAATGTAGGAATGTAGGTGGCAAATACTGAAGAAGTTTTTATTCTATGCCAGAATCTTTGATTTTCTTGTGAAATGTATTTATTTTGAGGAATTTAAAATTGAAAGATTGTAGGTAGCATCATAATCAAGTGTGCATGTTTTATTTATTTTTTTATTTTAAAGAATTATTTTGGGACCAGCAGATGGCATAATGGTTATATTGCTGGACTCCCACGTAGTCGACTGTGGTTCAGATCCTGGACTGGTGGCTTAAACTCACACCAAGCACATGTGCATGTGTGCCTAAGAGGAGAATGGCGGAGAATGGATTGCGGCGTGGCCATGCCCCCTGGGGGGTGATTTCTCGCTTTCTGTCTCTCTGTCTCTCTCTGTCTTTCTGGCGAGCATACATGCCCTACAGCAAAAACCTATTAAAAAATAATAAAAAGAATTATTTTTATTTTAACTTTTATTTATTATTATTTTCCAATTTGATCAGAGAGAGAGAGGGGGAATGTGAGAAAGTAAGCCACCAGGTCTGGGACTTGAACCACAAATTGTTGGCCATGTGGGAGTCCAGCGCCTTTAATCCCCACACCACCCGCCAGCCCCAGTGTGCATGTTTTAGACAAATTACTATAGCTGCCATATAGGGGAGCATGGAGAGAGGGATAGGGTAAGTCTACCTCAAAATGATGTAGGATAAAAGATGTGATTTAAACCAAAATGGAGCAGTGAGGACAGATTAAGACAAATGACTTCTGTTTGTTTCTTGGACACCATAGGAGTGAAAGGAGTGGGTTTAGGGAGAGAAGGAAGAATTAGGAATGACATTAAGCAACTGGGAGGCTATTAGTGCCAGTCATAGGAAAAGCAGTTTCAATGGGAAAGATTTCCAGGCTGGTAAGTTCAGTTTGCACGGTTTGGCCATCAGTGAGGAGATGCCCTAGACGTAGTTCAAGTCAACAAATATTCCTTGTCACTAGAATATGTCAAGCCCTATTCTAGATTTTTTAAAAATTATTTTTTGAAGAATTATTATTTAACTTTATTTATTATTATTATTTTCCAGTATGATCAGAGCAAGACAGAGAAAGAGAGGGAAAGTGAGAACACAAGCCACCAGGTCCAGGACTTGAACCACAGTTGCCCATCTGGAAGTCCAGTGCCACTTTAACCACCACATCACCTGCTGGCCCCTATTCTAGATGCTTATGGGTACCTTAGTGAGCAAAACAAAGATCTGTCATCATTGGGCTTACATTCTAGCAAGGGGAAACATACTAAGCATCATAAGCTAGTTATTATTTAGAATGTGATAAATACTAGCATGTTATTATATTAGAATGTGATAAATACTATAGGAAAAAAATGATTAAGGCAGGATAAGGGAATCATCGGTGGACTGCAGGGGGCAAACTGCAATATAAATTATTGTGATCAGGGTAGACCCAAATGAGGTAAGATTTGAACAAAGATATGAAGGAGGTGGCCATAACTGGGAGAAGATATTTCAGGAAAAGCGAACAGCCAGATCAAAAGGCCCTGGGACCAGAAACAGAGAAAGTGGTGAAAGTCGGAGTTAATGGGGGCGAGGGCTAATCATACAGACTTGGAGATCCTTGTTAGGACTTAGGGCTTTGGCTCTGAGTAAAATGGAGACAGTGCACGAGTTGGGGCAGTGAGCTGATCTGACACAGGTTTTAAAATGATCACTGGTTGCTGTGTTTATTTAGAGGGCAGAGGAGTTGTGTAGCCAGTTGTTTCTCGTACTCCTGAGAGACCTAAGACGATACATTTCCACGTTACCCTTGTAAAGGTCTATTAAGTCTTCCAGTCCTTTCTTGGAGCTAGGTGAGATAGCAAACACCTTAGAGAGTGACTGACATGATTCAGAGGGGGGAGAGAGGGAGTGTGCTCTGCCCTCTGTGGACCAAAGGAGGGGTGTGTATCTTCGCTAGCCGGGGCGCCGAGACTTCCTGGAGCAGGAGGGG